GTGCCAGTGTCCTTGATCATGACTACTTACGGCCTTCCTGAGGTGTCCCATCGCCCTGCCAGTGCTTTCATGGCCCTGCTCAGCATTGTTCTATCACTCACACGACAGGCGAAGTGGTTGTACGAAGAGTTCGATGTGTGTGGAGGTATGGACGTTTATCAGACCGAGAAGACCCCCAAGCATCAAATGAATGCTCCGACTCCAGAGTTGAAGTTCTCCATAGCATCCTTGACCCTTGGCTTGAATCCACGGAGATTCATGCAGCTTATATACGATATGAGTGGCAAAATGCGCCTCAGCGTTCTTGGAAGTCCACGTTTTTTGACGTTGAACTGTTGCAGATTGAGCTGTTCCAGTGCATTTTATCTTTTGAACTCAAGTTGTTTATATAGCCGCACCTATGCCACTCTAAGATGTTTGCAGCATTTCACAACAGCTGGGAGCGCCCTCACATGCGGAAAGGCATGCGACAGAAATGAAAACGCAGTTTCATGATTTCATGACGTAAACTGAGCCCAAGTCCACATGAAGATACATGGAAAAATTAAGAACAATGGCCACGTATACTGATTGAAGGCTAACCTTGTACGCCAACCAGTATTTGGTTTCCGCTGGACCGTGGTGATATCACTGTGCGTCGTAGTTCGGCTAATGTTGATACATGTTGATTAGCTGTCCACGTCTGGAGTGGCCGAATGCCCAGCGATCTGTCAATTCCTTGAACAGCAGAAGTCGTGCCCCCCCAATGCAATCCAACGTACATGGTTTGCAAAGTGACCTGCTCTAAAGCACCTTGTCCGGTGGCCAAATACATCAGAAGATTGCCTGCAAGTGACACATTTTGGAGAAGCCATGGTATTTCCCTAAGCGTTCTGCAGGAGAAGGGACTTGGTCAAGTCTTTCACTTGCCAGGTGTTTGTTACTGCGATTTGAAAGGTGTTTCTTCTTCTTGTGCAACGACATGCAGACATTTAGCTCGTATGCGTGCAGATGCCAGGCCGTCCATCTTATTCACATTTCGTGTGATAGACATAGCATGACATAGCCTGCAAACTCGAAGTGTGCAGCACCCAGCTTCCAGCAGAATAGGATGGGTCCGCGATCTTCCAAGACAAGCTGCAGCCTCAGATCTTTCTACTCCGTGATCACCAAGTTTGATCGAGTTGCCCCCCAGCAAGAAGTGGTGATCCGAAAAGCTGGATCCGATATGACTTGTTCCTTCGGTCAAGCAGCTGGACCAATTCCAGAAAACAGCCAGCGTGGCCATGGCCGTTCCCCAGAGGCGCCTCTGAGGTGAAGACGTTGACGAGGAAGGTGCGGGTGCCTGATGGAGTGTAGGACTCACGTGCCTGACCGCAGGACTGGGAAGAACGGAGGGAATGGGAAGGTGTGATTTGAACATGAAGAATGTGAGGGATTAAAAGAACTCACCATCCACAGCTATACCCTCATCTTCTAAAAGGACTCTTGGACACCCTGTGCCAGGTCGGTCTTTGCTTCACCGCGCTGCGCAGGATGGAGACATCCACTTGGTGGAAAGCCTACTGGCAGCGGGTGTGGAGATTGAGGAGAGGGACTGGAAACGCCAGGGACTGAGAACGTCACGCTCAACCTCGGCTGGCTCGGCTGGCTCGG